CTCCCCATCTTTCCCCCCCCCTCCTCCTCCTGCTCTGCCTCCTGGCGCTCCTCTCATTTCACTGTCCTCTTTTAGATCTTTGTTTCCCCCCTTCTCCTCCTATCGCCGGTCGTTCTCCCCCTCTTCCTCCTGTCGCTGGTCATTCTCCCCATCTTTCCCCCCCCCTCCTCCTCCTGCTCTGCCTCCTGGCGGTCCTCTCATTTCACTGTCCTCTTAGATCTTTGTTTCCCCCCTTCTCCTCCTATCACCGGTCATTCTCCCCCCCTCTTCCTTCCTCCGCTCCTCGTTCCGCTTCACATCCTGCCCCTGCTCCCTCTCCCGCTCCTCGCACTCCTCATCGCTGCCCCTGCCCCCCCTCCAGCTCCTCCCGCTCCTCATCCGTGCCCCTTCACCCTCTTTCCGCTCCTCCTCCTGGCGCTCCTCCTTGTGGTCACTATCCTCCTCTTCCCACCACCACCGCATCACAGGTCACGTCCTCTCTTTGAAGAGCAATCCCCTCTTGCCTTTCACGATCATGCAACGACATGTGCAAAACGAGAATGAATCTTTTGGTAGAAGATGGAAAGACACAGCGCCATGTTCTTTGGGGAAGATACACCGCCACTGGTGGAGCGATGCCCTGTCCCATTTGTCTGCTCAGTGCTCACCCGGGGCTAGGTCCCACTTGCACGAACTAAGAGATAGAGACTGTAGATGGCCGAGATCAACAGCCGACATCTCGTAATCCGTGCAAGTGGGACCTTGCCCCCAAACAGCTTGTGCTATGCACTTGTATTTGAACATTTGTGTCGTGCCCACCCGCTACAGCACGTCAAAAAAACGAAAGGAACCCAAGAGCCAAGCTCACTGGATACACCCATGAACTGTTGAAATACAGACCTGTGTTCGAATCCAGATTATGGAACTAGATGAGTCAAAACCAACTACTATTCAACTACTAATGAATTGGGCTGGTCAGCTCAATGATAATATATCAAGGTCGTCGCCCTTTTTTTTTTTTTTTAAACAAAAAGAAAAACAAAAGTACAACAACCAAACGGAACACACCGTGCCCCCACCAAGAGCCGACAAAATGAAAAGGCCCAGCTGCACTGAAAAAAACTCGTGCACCTCAGGACAGTGTGGTCATGTGTGTGTGTGTGTGTGTGTGTGTGTGTGTGAGAGAGAGAGAGAGAGAGGGTACTTGCATCGACAGGATGAGCAATATCGAACGAATCTCGAACGAATCTGACGCTAGACTCTGTCCGATTCAATCGGATTTTGCCCATGCTCTCTCTCTCTCTCTCTCTCCGTCTCTTGCGCGTGCGCGCGCGCGAGCGTCTCCCTTTCACACCGCTTAACAACAACAGATATGATGGATCGTCTCTGTGCCTCTCCCCCTCCTGCTGCTCCTCCCGCTGCTCCTCCTCCTCTTCCCCCCTCCTGCTTCTCCTCCTGCTCGTCCCATGGGCCGCGCCTCTCTCTCTCTCTCTCTCTCTCTCTCTCTCTCTCTCTCTCTCCAGAGTGCACGCGTGTGTCCTCCCTTTCACACCGCGTAACAACAACAAATGAATCAAATGATGGATCGTCCTTCTCCCGCTCTTCCTCCTCCCGCCCTTCGTCCTCCTCCAGCTCCGGCTTCTGTTACACGCGCGTGTGTGTGAATGTGTGTGTGTGTGCAGTGCAGATCCTGTGAACGTGACCGGCAGCGGTCACCTGAACGCGAACGGCCATTCACGGGGGCCGAATTCCGTGAACGGCCGTTCACGGGGGCCGCTCACGCCCCTGGCAGCCACGTGGCGGCCCAGGTGGTTGGGGTTGGGGCACGATTGGG